CTATACATAACAGTTCTTATTAAGGCATTTGACTTTAATGTGGAAACTTTTTTGAGGAAAGTTAAAATGCAGCAAAACACAAAGGAAATCAGAAATCAATACTTAACAGCAGTAAAAATATGTCATGTATTCAGAATTTTCTTTTTTTTTTTTAAGTAAAGATGTGTCAAGAAAAACGTTGTCATGGCTCAGGGGGAAAAAAAAGGTTTACGTTCTCAGGTCTAAGGAAAACAATTGTCAGGAAAAAAAAGTTCTCAGGTCTCAGTAAATAAAAAAAATCAGTTATAATGTCAGATTTACAGAAAAACCTTTCCAGCTCTCAGTGTATATAAATATATATATAAAAAAATCTTTAGTTCTCAGATCATAGAAAAACAAGATGGCGGTTCTCAGTAAAATAAAATATTTAGTCTCTGGGGGAAAAACTACCTTTTAGATCTCAGGTCTAAGGCTTTACAGAACGTTTTCAGTTCGCAGTTTATATTATAAAATTATTTAGTTCTCAGGTCCTTAGGAGGGAAAAAACGATCAGCTATGATGTTTTAGGAATAAACCTTTCAACACGTGACAACTTGTGCTTTTTTTTTTTTTTTTTTAAGACCTGATACATTTATTTAAACTATCCATGAACTGCCAACTTGTTTCCTGAAAGCTGAGGATGTAATAAAATGTACCGATGAGTCTCCTAACTAACAGGTAGAATGTATTTCGATATATTTTTTACATTAAAACATGCGCTAAAGGTAGGCAGACCTAAAGCTGAGGAGGCTCTCTAACCACTGACCTGCTTCTCTGCTCTTTAAGGTTAAAATCAGCAATCTTACCTGTTTGAGCCTCCATTCTGCTGGAGTCTGCAAAGAAAAGGAGACGATGATAAAATTAGCAAAAACAAACCCAAGAAGCTCAACAGCATGCAAATAATACTAAAAAACATAAATCAGAGAAATATCAGCCAAAAATCCGCCTTTGCCTTAAATAAGCAGTGTTTGTAGCAATTGTTTCACATTGTTTAACCAGTGTTAAGCTTTTAATGTGTTTTTAGATTTTTCTGTTTAATATTTTGTAGTCCTGAGCACAAATGCAATTTTTAAGGCTGATTCTGCAGATATAA